TTGACTCTGAAAACATCATTGGCTTTTTGACCTTTTGTTTCCTGGGTATGGGAGATTCTGTGATATTCAAGACTGACGTTCAAGGTAAGCATTCTCATTTGAGGAGTCTTGGAGGCAGCAAGGGAAGCCAAAGATACATTTGCCCCACCAGTCAGAGGGCACACAAATAATAGGTTAGGCAAATTTGAATAGTTTCTCTTGATGCTAAATCTAGATTCAGTTTCTAATTTGGACATAACACATGGTTGGTTGTGTCACTATTAAAATGTAGGGGTGTGTGTGTGTGTGTGTGTGTGTGTGTGTGTCTTTGAGCCAGGGTTTTGCAATATAGCCCTGGCTGGGCTTGAATTTATGATTCTCTTGCCTCCTGAGTGTTGTGATGATAAGCTATACCATTATGCTGAGCAGCCCAGTTACAAAGAAACTTGTCCAGCCTTTCACAGATAAGAAATTTGAGCAGCACTAGTAATTGTTCATTGTTTTACATTTTTTCATAGCACCCAATTGGATCTATGATTGCTTTCTCCCTTTCCATTAAGAGACTTCAAAGGATGGCTCTGTTAAGAGTTTGGGAACTAAAAGTAGGTTTACTTAATTGAGCTGCCTCATGCTAAATTTTGAGTCTTTATGCGGTAATAATGATGGCAACATGAAAGTTAACTTTTATAGAGCACTGTGTACCAGACTGAGATAAGCATGCTGCAATTCATGTAGTTCTTCAGGTGCTACTGTAATGACAAGGAAGCAGAGTTTAGGTGCTCAAGATGGCACAGCAATCAAGCAAGAAAGTATCTTAGGTTGTCACTGGATGGGGTCTGAAGAGGTTCCTCCAAAGAGATGGGGACATCAGCTTGCCCAGATAAGTTCTTGAGTCTTGTCTCAGATAAAAGAATTTCAAGATTTGTCAATCAGAGGCATAGGCTGTTTTATTAGGTAGAGTTGGAAAGCAAGAGGAAATATGGAAGGAGCTAAAAGGGGCAGCACTGAGGAAGATCATAATGACCTGCTACCAAAGAGTGAGACCAGCTCTTCGGGATTTGCTGGTGTGGGCCCGGGTTGGGTTGATTATTATCATGCATCTGACCTTCCATGAGATGATCGTTTCTGTGTAGTGCTAATGAGTTTTGGGGAAATCACTGGGATGCGAGGTGTCTGTAGGTTTAGGGCAATGGCTGGAGACCTCTAGGCACACGTTGGTAGCTGAATGTCTCTGTAAATGTCATGTTCCTGAGACTTAAAGGGGATAAATCCTTAGGTAAGTTAAGGAGTAGCCAGCCTTGTATTGGCAGCTTTTATATCGGTAGTCCCTAAATGTACAGCTGAGGATTTGGCCCAGATTATTTAAGGTAATAAAGGAGAGGTACAAAATGAAGGTCAAGCTTTGATTTGCTTTTAGTTATCTACTGGGTATTTTTAGGCCCCAGAAAAATCACTGTGTTTTGTTTTTGTTTTTTAAGCAAAAACAGCTGTTAAGTCTTTGATTACCTCAGAAGAAAGCACAAAGCATACTCTTAAATGAGTAAAGAGTTAAGAGTCAGGAGTTTGTCTTCTTTTCCTATGGTGGTCTCCATGGCAGAGCAGGTATAAAATGACTAGTACAGATTTTATGGTGTTGGATTCAAACACCTCCTTGCACATATAGGCAGGCTATACAATTTGTGTGTGTGTATGTGTGTGTGCTTGCTTGTGTGCATGCGCACGTGTGTGAACAGGGAGCTTGGACCCTATTTAGACTGGACCCAAGCCTGCCATTGAGCGTCTGTGTGGTCATCACTTTAGTTCTTTTTTCTGGGTCTTGGTGGTCAGATCCATGAGGCAGTGATAATCATCTCATATTGAACAAATATCTCATTTCCACTGAAACATAAAGTATAGGACTTGGAAAGAAAAATACTGTACAGAGAATAAAACATTTCAGATTCAAGAGTTTGTGTCACCTGTAACAGGAGGCTAGGAGTGATGAGTTAAGCTAAAGTAAAGTCTACACTTAATATGATTTACCCAATACTTACCCAACACAAAAAATTGTGTTTTTAGGGAAGTGTTGAGTACCATGATTAGATTAGCTTTCCATTTATTAAGAGAAATATAAATTAGATTGCTTAGGAGTTGGGGGCAGAAATACTGAAGGCTTCCATCGTTGGCAGGTGCTTTTTTCTGATTGATGTCATGTAATGAAAATGGGAGGGTGGAGATAGTTTTTCCTTTATATTCTTCTTACTTCTTTTTTTCCAGTAAGCTCTAGTGAATCTGAAAACATCTGAGTTCTGAAAATTTATATACAGTACTTCCCTATTCTCTTTCTTTAGTGGAAATTGTTTTTAGAAGACAGCTTTTGAGATGACTGCTTCAAATCTGGTAAAGAAGGTTGAATTTTTTATATGCATAACTTAAGAGATTTTTTTTAAAACTATGTCCCAATTGTCACATCTTTTCAGTTGTTCTGTGACCTATGTAAAACATCTGTTTCTTCTTGCTCATTTTTAGTTTAAACTAGGCTTTGTGGAGATTTAGGCTCATGGCAGTCCATGCTTGTTGAATATTGATATTCTGGGATGTTCATATGACAAGATTATCATGAGATTAAAAGGTCTTTGCTTTACCCCTGTGCCTGCAGGATTAGAGATGGGTTGGTTTAGCCAAGTCCTCCGGGGTCCTGCTCATTCAAAAACAGCTGTGTACTTTGGTATCAGGAAATAATTTGGCATTAACATCAAGCATCTTCTGTGATGCTGTGAAAATGGAGATTATAGTTTTCTTGCTTTCCAAACAATGTCACTTAAGGATCAGCCAGATAGCTCAGTGGATTAAAACACCTGCCTAGACAGATGCAGGGGCCAGGGGTTCATTCCCTGTTTTGCTGAGCTGGCCCTGCCCCTGGGGCATGCTGTGATTGAAGCAGGGTATGGTGCATCTGTAATCCCAATGCTTGGGAGGCTGAAAACAGGAGGATCACTATGAGTCTGATCTGTGTAGTGAGACCCTGTAGGCCCAGTACTAAATACAAAAAGAAAAAAAAAAGTCACTTGCTTGGTAGGTTTTGTTTACATTTGTATGTTGTATGTTGATCAAGACACCTTTGGTAATCTTCAACTTACCCCCATCCTCTGCTTCCTCTTTGGCTGTGGTTACTTACAAATCAAATGAGTTCATTTTGTTACAGGCTGGGCTAGATTGTTGATAATTTATTTATTTTTAATTTTTATTCATTTTAATGAGAAAAAAGATAAAATAGCAATGAAACAGTTTCAAAAACAGGTTAGTAGGACAGTTACAATAA